ATCATAAAGCAATTTTAATATACGTATAAGTGGGAGTCACATTTTGTGTTACTAGTATGTTTAGCTTTTAAGTTGTATAGTAAATATTAAATAACATATATAGTAAATAAGAATACTGTATTGCTGAATAAATGTCTTTATTATTATTACTATTACACACTATATTGAACTTATTTTTAAACTTTCCTATATGAAAATGTATTCATTATTGAATAGAGAGAGGTAAATACCTACTTTCATTTACCATAAAATTATTCGTGTTAAACCCCAACTATATTAATAATAATATATTATGTTGGAAATTACGATGAAAACTTTGTTAATATTTTTCCCGAGGTTTTTTCTAAAGGTGGATGAATTATAAACATTGTTTATAAATACATAACAATGTTTAGATGATATGATATACTTACTACAATTTAATATATACATAGGTGGGTATATATAAACATAGATCCATCAACATATACTCTAAACGAAGTAAATAAAAAGTAAATAATATGTTTCTGTTAATGTGTGACTTTTCGCTATGAAAGGGTCTTTTAAAATTTCCAAGAGTTAAAAATACAATGGTCTTACGTGAGTAAACCTGCACTAATCGGCTTTGTGGCTTTAGTATATAAATAGCGCCTTTTTTAAAATGACATATGTATAGGGTGGTTAAATGTCAATTTTGTAGGTACTGAAGGAAACATTTGACATGCTTAGCCCACATTCGCTCAGTATATTCGAATACAAAGTTGGGTGAGGGAAAGCCTACCATCATGTCTTTTGATTTGTTATCGGTGTTTTCATTACTAGTGACTCAATAAAAATATAATTGACACACAAAGTCTTTGGTGAACAATCTCAATAGAGAATTGAGATTGTCGTGCGTTATACGTACATATCTAATGGTCATACATTTATACTTGTAAATGAAAATATATCTGTCAGGCCAAGTCATGTTAAACTCCCCGCGGTTCCCATGAAAACCATCGTGATAAATTCCGGGTAAATTTTGCCACGATAGGCTATTGTACTGTAATCGTACCCAGCTGACCTGACCTCATGCTCATATTATTATCCACCACTGGTTCACTTCCAGCGTATAAACCGTTAGCGCAGGCCGAAAACCATTCCATTATCAACTGTTTTTACCTTTTCACGAATCTTAATGAAATTTAACATAACGATAAACTTTATTACAAGGAAATACGTATTCTATCTATACGTTATAAAAAGTAGACAAAGTCGTGGGTAATACCTAGTACTTCACAAACATCGCCAAGTTAAAATCTGGTGGCAGAAGACAATATGAACTGGCTGCATAATGCATGACGTGGACTCCAACGAACAATTGCAATATGGTGTTACTCGTATGTGTTGCAAAAAGCGAATGCGAGGGGTCTCGCCTCGCCGCCGTTCGGCTATATTGGCGTTTTGTACAGTTCTAAAACTATTTTAATATTTGCCATTCTGATACGTATTAGCAATGTCATAGAGTTTACTATTGCGTACAGATTTTGATGATTACAGTGTATAAAAGATGGGCAACGGATGCTAACGACTTGCTCTTCAATTTGAATATAATGTAATAAAGATGTTTAATCAACTTTTGATTTTTGTGACTGGCCGTGTTTTTACACCGTTTTATATAACTTCGTCTGTTTTATTTGTGTTAAAACATGGTTTATGACCATCCCTGTGATACCAAATATTTTTACTACTTTCATTAAAATTAATTCAGCCGTTTAGTCATCAAAAAGTTAACAAAGATTGTCAAATAGACAGACACACTTCAGCATTTATTACTACGGACAACATTTATATCGAAATATATCTACTAATTAAGAAATTTGATAGGTGTAACATAACATACATACATACACAAACTCACTATACACACATACAACCACTTAAAATACAGTGAAATATTTTAGGATAAATAAACCTTTTTATTTTAGGAAAATGAAATTCTTAACTACACTTACTATGTCTTAAAACTTTTATACGTCACTGAAATTGAAATGATTTTGTAATATCTATGGAATAATTAAAGATAGGTATTTACTATTAAAATGGGATAATCCATTTACAAATCCAATTTTTCTAACATCATAAAAACAAATGGAGAATCTGTTTTTACAGGTTCTACGTAACTTTCTTTCTAAGATATTCAACGGAAAGATAAATACACAAGGAGGAATAATTATTAATATTTATAACGTAGGTACTTTCTGTAATCAACTTGGATCCACCATATAGGGTTAATGTTATGATACATTAATATTAATGCAACCAAGAGGTAGCTTATTTATGATACATTTGGAATGTATTGGCCGAGTTATGTTCACGATTTATTGTGACCATATTGCTTTTATTTGTTATTATTTATATGTAATATTATCTTATCTGTGCTAGCAGATACGCGCAACTTCGTCTGTATCACATTTTCCCCGTTCTTGAAACATTTTTCAATGCAGCTCGTCGTAGCTGGTCGTAGCGTGATGTTTTGTAGTCTATAAGTGATGTAGTGGAATAACTTGAAACAGTAATGCTAGCAAGCTATAAAGTTCATACTGGTGGCAGAATGGTGGGCCGGGTCAATATGCTACCTCTAATATTGCTGACTCATCCGTCATACTCGTGAACGGGTGCTGTTTTTGGGGACTGGTCTATTAGAGTTACGACCACTGATAATTTTCTTTTGATTAAAATGCAATAGCATATGCTGTTGGTCACGATATATCAAAATATATATATCTGTATCCGTGACAGGGTAACCAATGAGAGGATTCTAGAAATCTCACAGCTGCCTAGCTTAACCGCACTTCTTAAACAGAAGCGTCTACGTTGGCTAGGGCATATGCACAGAATGGAACCCTCCCGTTTACCACAACGCGTTCTGCTCGGTGCGATAGCAAATGCAAAGAGAGACATAGGGAGGCCTTTGCTTCGTTTTAAGGATTGCGTCAAATACGATACGGCCACATTTCTAATAGATCACCGTGACTGGGAAAAGCTCGCAACAAATAGAACAGATTGGCGCAGACGTGTAATGGAGGGTCGAAAAATTTGTGATGAAGCCTGGCTTCAAAAACTTGCTGATAAGAGAAGGAAGCGCCATCTAGGCGGTTTAGTACCGACTACTGCCAATATTTTCTCTTGTCGAGCCTGCGGTAGGCTATGTGGCTCTCGTATCGATTTATATACCCACGAAAAGAGCTGTTCAAGGACCGTCACGCCATAAATCGTCTCTAACAAACGCATAGGCCATTAGTAGTTATTATATTTCTCTAATCATCTACTAACTCATTTGAAAACAATAAACGAAAGTAATCCGTATTGGCTGTAGATTTTACATATAAGTCTGTAATAAACTTAGAAGTATAAATATACTTTTATTTGATTTGAGTTGATTTATAACATTACACGTTGTCGCGAGTAATACTTACAGTAATTATTTACTATAATATTAGTATAGAATTTATAAATTACATATGTACATTATATAAAATAGTATACATACCTACTATATTGTAAATAATCATAGTTGAATTCCATTCCGTCCGTGAAAAGCGACACATCAAAAAGGACGCAACATAAAATGGAACCAAAACAGAAACCCATCATATAGCATTGTGATATTTTTCATCGCGTATAAATGTTTTGATGAAGCGACGCGGGTACAGTCGCCGACATAAAGCTCCCGAGGGGATGGCTTTAGGGGGATTGGGGGGAAAAAATGAAATGAAAATAATGATAAAAACGTCGACGGCACGGGGAGCGTCAGCCGTTTTTGTAGGACTCGCAGATTACGGTTATAGACAATAAAATTATACTAGATGTATAATAGTATTCCAATCTATATGTATAAACGTGTTACAAGATATAACGCAGTTATAATAATATGATAATAATAACCCTGAATAAAACACAGAGTAATGTAGTCTCAAGCTATGCAAAGCGTGTGTTATGAGTTCTAGAAGAATTATAGAGATACCTCTAAATATGTCTTTTTGTAAATACATACGTATTATATGTAGAGATACCGAGACTAAAACATTCCTACTATAAATAAGTATGAAGAGAGTATTGGTCTGGGTTCTATAATGTTTGCATCGTACTAGGAATCGACTTCGTAGAATGTAAAGCTGTGTGCCAAAATGCTAGACCACAGAGTTTGTCTATTATTTTGTATATTTTAAACACTTATCTAAATACATATGTCAGGGTCTGTTGCTAGGTTTAACATTATTTTTTAAATATTTATAGGTATTAGAAAATGTACTATAGTTTCTAATATTGTATATATTTCACTAACCTAACATAGGTAGATTTTATATTAGCCATTGTTCTGCGTGGTAACCACTGCTTTAACTATTTCTGCCATCAGGCAGCTTACTTTGTAAGACGTTCTTTAGTTAGTAAAGTGAGATATGCCCGTAAAATTACTAGTTTTAGACGCTATATCTTAGCTCTCAAATGAGATATTTGTCGTTCTGTCCATCTATATGTATTACCTATAGTTATACGAGAAGAGCCTCATGAACCTTTTGATTATTTCCTGAGAACGGTACATATTTTTATGTATCCATACAACTAGACGATGAAATAAAGGCACCAATAAAGGATGAGCATGAAGTAAAGTCAGTAGTCACCCTGTTATGGTAAATTAATCAGATATTAACTATGACTCTTTCCATGGGAACCACGTGAAGGTTGACCTAAGATGTTACATTACACTAGATATGGGGGGAGGGACCTCCACGTGGAGACCATCATAATAAATTGTCAGTTGCCAAGTTGGGCTAACTGACCAGACTTCATGCTCATTTTATCATTTACCATTGGTGCCCCGCTTGTGAACACCGTTAGCTCAGATGCGTGCACCATTACACTATAATTCATAAGACTATACATGAGGCTCTAATCACTATTACTAACATAATTACTGTACAATTACCATTTTCCACTGTTAACCTTTCAACATAAATAATTAAAAAAATATTTTGCAGTGAGTAATGGAGCGTTAAGCGCGTGCGCAGCTCAAGGCGGCGGAATGGACAAGGATGGCAAGAAAAAACACACGCGGCCAACGTTCAGTGGACAGCAAATATTCGCGTTGGAGAAGACGTTTGAGCAGACCAAATACTTGGCAGGCCCTGAGCGAGCCAAGCTAGCATACGCCCTGGGAATGACAGAGTCACAGGTCAAGGTGAGTGTTTTTTTCTCTTTCTTTTCCAATCTACAATAACAACCATTCTCGCTCCATTCTTATCATAAAAACAATGTATATTATTACGAACGACATTTAATCAAAGTTATAACTGAAGTACATTTTAAAGTCCACATGTAAATCCTATGCCTATATATTTGAAAAACCAAGCAGCTTATTTCGTAGAGACTTTTTTGTCGAACAATTCTAATGCAATGGGCTGCAGCTGGCCTTTACAGCTTCACCGAACGATAGGGGACGAGTGCAGATGACACTCAAACTCGCGGATGGACTTATGGAGCGGCTGAAGGCTAACTCCTGCCTGACGCATACGAGAGACGAATCCGTGAAATTACAGGATAAGAGACACAAGATCCTAGTACCTCAGAATGGTAACGTATGAGGTGTGTGATAACATGATGTCCGTAGTGCTTTTTATGTACATAAAACGTATATATGTGTAGCCAATGGGTACTACCTACCATCAGGTAGGATTTCGATTTGTAGTGTGATAATCAAATTTTAGAAAAAAAATACTGAGTTACCATTTTTGTATATAAGTTATATAAGTTTTATAACTTCAGTAGGCTAGTTATTTTTTTCTAACTTAAGAACAAATTACCATTCTATTTTAAGATACGAATAAATCAGTTTATAAGGCGTTTATAAAATGAATTTATTATTTAATTATAAATGATAAATACTACTGGAAATATAGCATACATTTTTTATATATGTCTTTTATATAAATTAAATTACGATCTATACCATAGATAATTAAATGTCTACGGACATATTACTGACTACTGAATTTGAAAACAAAAAACAGCAATTAAATGAAGAATTATAATAATACAATTAACTAGTAACACTTAACTGTGGACAGTGACGAGTAGGGTAACAGTACCAATTGCGAGCACTCGCTAGTCAACGTAATCCGATTACACAGATTGAAAAGTCAATCACTTAGCCGATCGCGCGGCGCGGCGCAGTCAAACGATTCGCTCACTCGTTCTATTACTGGGGATTAAACACAGGCGACATGTGGACGTATCGACTTTTGTTTTGTTTTATTATACTCTGATGAAATTCTATCGAGTTTATCTATCGGATCATATATTTTCATGATCTGTTGTTGCAGTTTTTATACCGGCTCGCATTCGTTTGTGAATGTTATGACTCGTTTTTTATTAACTACCACTTTGTTATTTATACTTTGTTATTTTTAATATTTTGAGAATTTGAAAACCTTACTATTTATCTTATTAATATTAATATTATAATCGCGGAAGTTTGTCAGTGTGGATGGAAGGATGGACGTTTGTAACTCTTTCACGCAAAAACTACTGAATCGATTTCAATGAAACTTTCTAATAATATAGCTTATACAACAGCATAACAAATAGGCTATAAACATCACAGCTAGTATACCTACAATAATTTACTATCACAGTTTAAGCCTTGCTTAGTTTGAAACTAGACTGCACTGTATGATGCGATAGATTCTCGATTATGTAACACTGTTACTGTTTACTGTTTCACCTTGGTAAAACCACGGGCACAGGACACATAAAACATTTTAAACATTCAAAGCATACAAACATTCAGTCATATAAACTGCTAACATAATAATTATGTAACAAAACTAATAGGATGGTCCTAATATATTCGACAATTAGGACAGTTATATTCATACTAGAAGTTTAAATTGGGTAATTTGTTTATAACAAGTATTTCAGCGCTGTTTCAATTAAACTAAACATATGAAATAGACGTAAAAAGGCGCAATTTATTTTAAACTAATTAGGGTGTGACACGGCAGCCCTCGCTAAATGGCCGCTAAGCGTGGGGCATTGTCCCGGCAGGGCAGGGTGTAGGGTCCAAAATTGTGACACTCACCCCGCCATACTGCGGTCACGGTCGTTTAGTACATGGGCTTATTGAGTTTTTGTTGACTGGGCATTTTTTTATAAGGAAACATGATAAATACTCCTTATCTACATACATAGTATCTGTTTCTATAAGATGCAAGCTGTTGGTATGTACCTAACATATCAGAATCTTCAAGTTAGTATTTATTTTAAGTTAATCGTAAGATTTTATATTTCTTATGGTAGCTCTGTAATCTTATCCTAATACTAATAATATTATGATTGCGAAAGTTTGTACGCAAAAACTACTGAACGGATTTTGATAAAACTTTACACTAATTTAGCTTAGACATTAAAATAACATATAGGTTATAAATTTCACACGGGTGAAACCGTGGACCAAGCTAGTATATAAACATCATGGTAGGGAATTCTAGAGTTATAAATTACAATAAAAATAAGCATTTTATGCAATATTTCAATGTTAGTCTGCAGATATAATTATCTGATTCCCTTTGTCATTCATTAAGTTATTATGTAAAGTTCATAAAGTTCATGTAAATTTGTATATATGAATTGAGCCTAAATATTTATAGTAATTTACTAATATAGTTTATAAATTGTTTCCAAATTTATTAAAAACTAATAATACGGATATAAATAATGCGATAAGTGAATCAATTCATTAATGGAAGAAAAGATCCGTTCGTTGAAGTACAATTCTAAATAGTCATTGTTAATAATGTTAAGGGAGCAAACGAAGCGTTTAGCCTTTACAACTGTCGCAAATCGTACATCATACGAGCTCATACGAGGTCCACATTTGATGCAGAGGGGTCTGAATTATGTTACACTAAGTGATACGTTCCATTAGGGGCCATTTCGCAGTTTATTCTATTTATCTATGTTCAAACTCAGTTCCTTTACAATGTAGACTGGAAATAAATAACTTTGACAATTTACACTAGTACTGTCTAGTGTTAGACTAAATAGTTTGACGGCCTCGGTGGTCTAGTGGTTTACCACACCGCTTTACTTCCGATGGTCGCGGGTTCGATTCCTCGCAGGGTGCAAACATTTGTAATCATGAGTATGATTGTATGCATCGGTCTGAATGTTTTCTATGTATATTATGTATGTATTTACAAAAAAAATCTAAGTATTTTTATCAGTTGTCTAGTACCCACAATATAACTATGTCTAGTATAACAAGTTCTGCTTGAATACAGCACTGTGTGAATTGTCCTGAGATAATTATTATTATTTACAAAAAAAAATATTTAAGTATTTACATCAGTTGCTTAGTACCCATAACACAATCTGTGTTTAGCTTGGGGTTAGATAACGCTGTGTAAAATGTCTTGAAATATTTTTATTACTTCATTATTAGCTAATAATTATTGGACAATTTGGAAAAAATATTATTGTATACTATATTTGCAATAATTAAAATTTCTTCTCTATTACGATGTATGTTTAACATTAACTTAAAGCAGAAACAATAGGCAGCGACATTTGAGTTGGACCGATGCCTAATGGATTTTCGCATGTTTGCTCTCATTGTATCGGCAGCAGTGAAAGTCAGCGGATGAAATCAAGCGCACATAACGAGATTAATGGATATGATATATAGAGGGACACTTGCGTTGAATAATGTTTGTGACGAGATGGATGCTGAGTGAACGGCCGGCAAGGAAGAAATGCGGTGTATTTATCACCATATTACTTAACAGGATGTTTAGATGTAATTTTTTATATTTCAAACTGAAGTATACTGCAGATGATTATGTAGATATGTACAGGTGAAAGAATTTTTGAAATATGTCCAGCATTTTTTGAGTTTACATACTACACACAAACATATAAATACAAATTACACGTGACCGAAAGGCGAAAAGGTGAAACATTTAAAGTATTCTGGATACGTCTGAGTCCAGATTACGTTGGTACACGATCACGTCATGAGAAGACCAGAGGATCATAATACTAGAAAGGTAGTAAATGCCTGAACAAAAGAAGCGTAGAAGACCTCGACTTACATGGATAGCCGCCATATGTAAATACCCAACGACGATCTAGACAAGAAGCCTCAGGAGACAAAAGATAAAGAGAGCCGACTCCAATTAAGACGAAAGAAGGTCGGAAGTACTTGATACTTATACTTGTAGTACTTGAAACAAACATCAAAGTCAAATCTCATCAAAATCAAAAATTTGGAAATAGGAGACTCGTAGTAAAAGGAAAAAATAGGTTTCTATTAAATACAGAACAATTTAAAATTTCCTTCTCAAAAAAATGCCGCAGATAATACTACTTTTTTTTTTTTATTGAACATAATCTCTATAATACAACTACATAGTTTATAACACAATAGAACGCAAGTACAATCGTGAATGCAATCCTTTACAACTCCAAATACGTATCTACCAACAAATGAGGTCTTTCATTCACAAATTGAGCTCAAAAGCCAATGTGTGAGGGTAATTACTTCACCAATTTACTGCATATGAACGCACACAGAATAATAGACTTTACTGTATCGGCACAAGAGCTAGGTCAAACGAACAAGTAGTACAGGGTGTTCTTTCAATTCCCCTACATGGGTGTCATAGCTCATTTGGCATTCGATAAAATTAATCCATAGGGAAGATTAAAGGGAGGGTACAGTATTTACACATGTGACGCGATGCACCGGTGCAGAGGGAATGCATAATGCAATTAATTGTTGACTGACTGTTTATTCAATAACTATATTTTACGCTGTAATATGTTATAATGAAACTGTTTATTAAGTAAACAAGCTTAACAAGTTTTAAATGTTTTATGGCGTTGATAAATTTGCAAATGAATTGTTTTGTAATTTTATTGTTTAACGAAATTAAGCTTTATTATCAAAAGATAAACAATGAGTAAAGCTGTAAAGTTAATGCTTGCGTTTTTATTTGTAATTAATTAATTACTTAATGTAAGTTTTGTTAAAAGTTGTCGTCTCTTAATTTAGACAGATTTACAGTCCAAATTGATAAGTATATATACTATTAAGTCAATTAAAAGTAATAATTTTAATTTATCGTAGGCTGCTAATATATAGCTTGTTAATCATTAGGTAACCCGATAGCGATTAACGTT